GTATACACACAGTGCATGCAAATTAAAACAGTCACTTTAAACAATACTTAACATCCAGTACAATAAAATACACACAAAAATATAAAGAAAAAAACATAAAAATATCACGACCATAGGAAAACTTACTAAATGCTGTTTGGTACTTTTCTACCACTGCTTACCTAAACAGATTAAAAAGTGATCTACCCAACAGGGTATATATCTGGTTATCCCCTAAACCAGCTGTCTCTAACTAAATTAAATTTTAAGAGACCAAATTACAACTCCACCGTTTTAAAGCAAGTTTTAGGTTTTATTACAAATAGATGTATATATGCTTAAAAAGTGATAAAGCAAAAGGGGAGATATTCTGTGCTTTTCCCAAGTAATGGTTTTCATGTAATAATGATGTTTTGAGTACCAACAGTTTTTATTATTTATAATCGTGTACATAGTTTCTTATAGTGAGTTTTAATGCTGTCTAGAGTATAGGGATGGAGGATAAGTTCAACTAGTCAGCATTTTCAGCAAAGTGACACAATTTACTTCTCCAGGAGTAATATACAGATTGCAGCATAATTATTATTTAGATTTTGTATGTCTCTGACTTTGGCAAAGGGGTTTTTAGCTCAAGAAACACATCAAAATGCATTAGAAACAAAAACGGTGTATTTTAGGATAAAATACATTTAGAAATGTAGGTTCACATTTAAATAAAAAAAATTATGCAGATTCATGTAGAAATGGGCTGGAATAGACTTATGAAAAAACATATGCAAAATTGACACAGATCAGATATCCATTAATGTGTCCACCCCAATTTGAGGGTTTACACTGTATACATTGGCTTTGTGTATATTACAGTTAAATGCTGTACTATTTGTTTAAATAAAATTTTTAAGCACTGAGTTTTTTCTTTTTATAGTGTGTAATTCTGTATTATTTTTACAGGCACTTTCCTTCATTTACTTGAAGTGTGATAGGAACTATATATTGGGCAATTGCCTTATTTTGGTGCTGTATTTTTCTAATGTTGTTATTGATTCTCTCTATTTGTGTTTCTGAATCGATCTCCTTCCTATGCTGCAGATAGATTCTTCTTCCCCCAAATAATTCAAGGTTGCTTAAAAGAGAGATTGCTGTTGGGGTGTTTACACTCACTCCACTTTTGCCTCTAGTAATGAGACTTTGGAATTGTTTCAAATACGGGCAAAATTTGTTTCACCAGAGGTAACAGTGCAACAACACTCTTGTCTGTCTCTAGCCATAGTATAGAAGTTTGGAAGAAATTGTTAAGATTGCTGAGTGGAGCACTATTCACCCCAGAGAATGCCTGTCAGTAGTAAAATGTTCTGATAGGCTAAAAGAAAATGTTAGAAAAGACTGCCTGTCATGACAGAGGGGGTCTGTGGATGACGAGCACTTTTAATTGGAGTGAAGTTCCAATTCTACTTCATAGATCTTAAGCAATTTATCTCAAAAATAAACAAGATAGGGAACTTTATTTGAAGGAAGGCTCCAAACTATTTTGAGGGGGGAAATCATGGGGATTAATACTCACTGTACAGATCTGTTTCATCTAGAATCTCAGATTTGATGATCTCTTCAATTACATCTTCCAATGTAACAATGCCCAAGACTTCATAAAAAGGATCCCCTTCCCCTTCATTGTTCACCCGCTGCACTATTGCCAAGTGAGATTTACCTGCACAGAGTAGTAGACCAAGAAATTAGAAATTATAGCAGAATCACTAGCCAGCCGCTGTCAAAATGACATGGATGGATCCTGCAATGAAACAGCAGATGGTTAAAGGGATACTGTCAATCTAAAATACAGTTATATCTGAAAGTTCATAACGATTATTAGAATCAGCATAAAGCTGTTTACAGGTATAACTTGTATGTAGTTGGTCCAAAAATTATAACAGGTGATATTTATAAAAACTCAACCATTCTACGACAACCTTGTATTGCGTTAAGCCTCTAGGCTGTCAGCTGGGAAGAGCCCTAGCCAGGGGTGAAATACTGGCCCCTGGACTAGCAGGTCTTGACACAGTGGCAATGGCCACCAGCCAGGCGCAGTCATAGTCACCAGATCCAGAAATCATGGACCCCATGGCCAATGGGGGCCACCAGAATCAGCTCAATTGTGAGTCTCTGACCCTTCTTCACCATTTGTTGGAACTCGCAAAATGGCTGGGAGGCATATAGTAGGCTAGCTAGTGAAATGGATTTTAAGACATCTGTTCCCCTGGGTAGCTGCACATGGCAGACACATGAGATAGACCTGCAGCTGAGTATTTTCAGGTGTGGCAAAGAGAACCACCACTGACTGTATGCCCCAAACTATCCAGCAGCATCTAAAATGCCCTCAGATTCTGCTGCCACTATGCTTCATTTATGATTCTGCAACTCAACCAATCTGCCATGGTGTACTTCAGGCCTGCTAACTGTTCAGCTTTCAAGGAGAGCAGGTTGTATTCAGCACAACTGAAAAGGCTGTTGGCCTCAGTACCCAAGTCCCACCAGTTTGTTTACATATGCGTTTGCCAATGTTTTGTCTGTGTGAACCAGCAAGTGCATGCCCCTGATCTCCAACATCAAGAGACTTAGACTGAGCTGAACTGCACAAAGTTCACCAAGTTCCAAGACACTGATATTCAGCAGGGACTTGTCCACATTTCCTGAACCACTTGACGGCTGATGCGAGCCCCCACCCCATCCATAAACAGAAGGGAATGAATAGTCAGACTCTCTCACATACTCCCTAACACCATAGCCAACAAAGATGAGAAACAGAGCATAAAAGCGCATGAAAGGAGAGTAAAAGTGATGGTAATACATGGGGCAGCTGAATACCCAAGAGGACCCTAACTGTCTTTGACCGCAGGCAGGTTCAGACTAGGAAGGAGGCAAAAAAAATTCTGGGCTCTTCCTGTCAAGTACAGCAAGAGGAGTCATCCTCATTCACTGCCAACAGGTAAATTTCCAATTTGCTTTGGGAAATTTTCTGATGGCCCCTGTGATCTGAATTAGCGTGTTTATTTTACTTGTAAATAGAGGTAGAAATCTTGAAACTGCCAAGCTTGACTAATATTACATTTCCAGCTGCAATCCATTCATTATCACTAATGAACTTATGAAATAGAAAATGTTTCACCTCACCTCACTGACTGTAGCTAAGATGATAATTATTCCTAGTTTACTGACATTCCACATTAGCAAACACCAGATGTATTGTATTATACTGTTCATTTGCAAAGAGATGAATTCAATCATATGCAGAATTAAAAGCAGCGCAATAACTTATTTTAACACAGGCAAGTGACAGCGAGTATACTGTCAACTACCATAATCGAACAAATAAGCTTAGATATGCCACTCTCAGACATTTTTTGTTAGACCTATTTTTTATACTACAAATAAATCTATTGATTATACAAATGGTGGGAATTTTAATGCCACAGTTTTACAAGGGGGAATCTTCATTACAACAAACATAGAATCATATAATTGCGGAGTTGGAAGGGACCACAAGGGTCATCTAGTCCAACCCTCTGCAATGCAGGAATCTTTTGCCCAATGTGGGGCTCAAACCCATGACTCTGAGTCTCAGGCTCTACTGATTGAGCTATCCTAGCTGTCAATGATCACTGGTAAACCAAAGACAATCCAAAGCTTATTAACCATGCAGCAAATTGCACTAAACTATAGTGTCAGAGAGTTCACTAAAGAACAGTTAAACTACCAATTAAAGTCTAGCTAGTCTCACTTCAGATGATTCATTTTCCTAGATACTAAAGGACTAAAAAAGAAGCAAACAAACAAAACATCTGCACATCATTGTGTAAAGAATTGCAGGGCTGTAAGGCTGTAATCCTGCACATACTTAACCAAGGAGTAAGTCTCACTGAACTCAGCGGTACTTCTGAGAAAATACCCATAGTCTGGGAAGTAATCAAAACAGTCTGATTGACTTTTATTAAGCTCATTTGTAGACAAGGGAAATTGGTGGAAGAAGCTGAGATTTACTAAACTAACAAGCATTCAAAGTATTCCATCCAAACTCACTCATGGTCAAAGAATGAAGCTATCTTGGAAAAAATAGACCAGGGAGGGGACCCTAACAACTGACATGAACACTGCATCAGGTCAAACCAATTCAGCTTGGTAAGCTTCACATCTGCTTTCCCAGGGACTAACATAATCAGTTAAAAACAAATTCTTTGTGAATGCTGTCTGTCGAAAGCTAAATACTTTTGCTATTCCCAGCTTGTGATCATTTAAAAGGAATTTTCCAAAGCAAGGTCTAATATTAGACTCAAAATGAAGTTTCCATTCCACTTACGCGATATTCTCACCAAAGTAACTACTACATAATCTGATTGTCTTGGAGCTACTCGTTTAGATGCAGATGGACATACTTCAAATACCAACTCCACAGCACCAGCAAGACTTATCTTGAAGAGACCTTGTTTTTCAATGAAGATCATTATTAGAACAATGATTTGTATTTTTAATTATGCACATGCTAATAAACAGTTCCAAAGTATGGAGGATGGACAAATTACTTCCTTGCTCAATTATAATATTACCAATCTACATTCCAAGTACTGGAAGTTCTAATCAAAGTTTGTTATGTGACTGTAGATCTAATTTTTACCAGCCTGATCATACACCACCAAAGTCAGAAAATATTTTACCACCAGAAGACTAAATGACAGTTGTGGTAGTTTTGAATATCAACTGCATTTTGGTTTTCACATGGCTAGATAATATATAATATGTAAAGTAAGTACAGTATGTCAGACAAGCTCTATTAAGTTTAACCAGTCCTAAGATCTTCCATATTAAATATGAACATTTCAGCATGACACTTCTGTGGGTTTTTTACCAGCATAAAAAGGCAAAGTAAGGAAGACCAAACATTTATATTTTATTCAAACCCACAATCTCCAATAATAATCACTTCATTTTGTTACTGTGTGAGCTTCAGCTCTTTCTATATCAGCTACAACATATACATAGCTCTGTCAGTAGAGCATGAGATACTTAATCTCATGGGTCGTGGGTTTGAGCCCCATGTTGGGCAAAAGAGTCGCGCATTGCAAGGGGCAGGACTAGATGACCATTGTGGTCTCATCCAACTCCACAATTCTATGATAGCTTTCTAGGAATCAAAACACAATGTGTGTTAAGATACCATTGTCTTTTCCATTTAATTACAAATATATTATTTTTGTAAGAATTACAGGATTATCAGAACCAAAGGTCACAAAATATATTGCCATGCTAATAATTGTGTGTTGAGGTTATTGCTACAGTTTGTGTATGTTGTACACTGGTACCTTGGTTTACGAACTTAATCCATTCCAAAAGTCTGTTCTTAAACCAAAACCATTCTTAAACTGAGATGCGCTTTCCCTAATGAGGCCTCCCGCCACCGGTGCCCTTCCACCATTCGGATTCTGTTCTTAGACCAAGGTAAAGTTCTCAAACCGGGACATTATTTCCGGTTTTGCGGAGTTTGTAAACCAAATTGTTCTTAAACCGACTGTTCTTAAACCAAGATACCACTGTAACTGGTTAGTGAGCTAACAGGAGAGTGGTAACTTTAGATGACTACACCTGATACAACAACGTACACAGCAGGAATTCTCTGCACACTTGAAACCAGTGGGGCTTAATTTACAAGTTCTTATGCATATGATAGGATGCTCATAATGTAATTCAAAGACTCAAGAACAGCAAAATTATGTGTGTGTGAATGTAGCTAAATTTCAATGTGACTATGTAGGATTAATTTTGGTTTACAACTTTTAATTGATTACTATCTTAGACGTCTTTAGGAGAAACAGCAAATTTTGTTCACAGGACTGAATTATCTGCTACTACAGGATATCTGATAGGAATCCTACCATCATGGATCTGAATGGATGGTTTCAAGTATTATCTGAATATTAACCGACAACTTCCAAGTTCCTTTTCTTTCAATTTCTTTAGAGTCCCTCATATTTATCTAAGTTAATGAGTTTTATAAATTATTTATTATAATTATATTTATTTTTGTGTAAAGGACCCACCAGGCCAGTGCCTGTTGGTCTGTATAAACAGAGGCACAATTTAGAGACTAGCAAAGAAAAAGACAACATTCCTGATTATTTTCCAGAAACAAAGACACCAAAAACCAAAAAGAACCTAGGCCACTAAAACTACCAGTATCTATGTGCAACACGAGAAGCTCCAGTTATTTAAATATGTTTACATATGGACTATTTTTCCCCCCTTCCATTTTTTTTATCCTGTACATGAAGAAAGCATAATTCATTCCTTTATTATAAGATGTCATCTCTTCTGGGCATATAGTCACTGGATTTAGATGCGCGTTTCACTAAGATGTGGGAAACTGCAAAATGAATGCAGATACCACTTTCAGCTTCGATAGAAAAGCCTTTCATAACTGATACAAGCATTCACATTACTGATTTATATTCTTTTGGTAGAACAAACAATACCAAAAATTCTGCACCACTGAAAACAGTAACTGAGGAGAAAATATGGTTCAGAAAGCATTGGTCAAATTATTTTTACGTAACTGCAACAGCCTGTGGAAAGCTTCTAATTTAACAGAGCAATCCTAGACATCTGCTCAGAAGAAAGTTCAATGGTGTTTACTCCCAACAACTTAAGCAGCACAAGATTTCAGTCTAAAAGACATAGTTGATAATGTAGGTTGCTTAAATGACCAACTGCTTTAAACACAACAGATTTCCTACATGGATAGCAGTTCTAGATATGAAAAGCATTCAAATCAAACTACTTGTTGATCTTAACTTACAATCTACATAAGGTTTTCAATACAGGAGTACTTTCAAAGTAGCAAAAGTGTCACATATGAACCAACCTTAGCCTGCTAGGTAGGCAAATAAATATACACAAGACATACATTGAAAACCAAGGGAAAAAGAGAGGCAAATGTACAAATGAGTGTTATATGGATGATTTATTTGTTAGAATGCAAATGCCACAAAGTGTTGTCACAAATATTTCTTCAAGAACAGATGTTCATGGAAACCGATGTTCAACACAAATCATGCAATCACAATGCAATTCATTACTGTCATGAATTGTGCTCATGAAAAAGAACTTCAACATTCAAAGTAAATGAAACTAATGCTACATAACACATCACTCATTTCATCAGAAGATCAACAGAACATGCAAATCCTTTATTATAAATAATACATTTACATTTGCCTTCAAATATAATGTAACTGTAATTTGCATTCTAATAAATGATCCACACATTTTGAAGTTTGTCACATTGCTTTCTATTGACACTCTCTGAGGTCTGCCTCCCTCTTCCTTTTAGTGTTGCACTTCTTTCCTTCTAATTTTTACATAAACCAACATAGCTTTCCTGCAATAGCATAAGGGGGAAAGTAGTGTGGGTCCATAGATCATCACAATATTAAAGGAATCTTCACCAGGTCTTCTACATTAATCAATGATAATTATCATTTTGAAGCTAGATAAAAAGCTGTTCACCACTGTTAATCACCAAGCAAGGACAGCTGCATGTTATTGCCTTGCAGGGGGTTGGACTAGTTGATACTCAGGATACCCTGCAACTCTACAATTCTATGAAGTCAGCTTCAAATCTTTGCAAGTTCTGAATACTTGTCAAACGTAGGTTTGGCTGACTATAGATTCATCCAGATTTGTCTGGATGAAGCCACGCAAAGTATGCCAGCAATCACAAGTATTTGATATATGTTCCACTAGACAAAGGCATCAATTTAACTCCTGCATTACATGCTACAAACAACAGTGAGACAAATGGAATTTGATGCTACTTTATTTGTCATGCTTAATAACAGTGCACTGAACAGTACAGTACGGCACAGAACAATGGAGATTGCTCCAGTGGATAAAGTTACCACTGCAATGGATCTTTAGTAAAGGTAAAGGGACCCCTGACCATTAGGTCCAGTCGTTGCCGACTCTGGGATTGCAGCGCTCATCTCGCTTTATTGGCCGAGGGAGCCGGCGTACAGCTTCCGGGTCATGTGGCCAGCATGACGAAGCCACTTCTGGCAAACCAGAGCAGTGCACAGAAACGCCGTTTACCTTCCCGCCGGAGCAGTACCTATTTATCTACTTGCACTTTGACATGCTTTCGAACTGCTAGGTTGGTAGGAGCAGGGACCAAGCAACGGGAGCTCACTCCGTCGCGGGGATTCGAACCGCCGACGTTCTGATCGGCAAGTACTAGGCTCTGTGGTTTAACCCACAGCGCCACCCGCATCCCTCAATGGATATTTAGCAGTGTTTCAAACAGTAACTGCCAGCCACAGCAAAAGGGATTTGTCTCTTTTCCTACTGGTCTTTGGACTGAATTCAAAATATAGCCTGCATTTTCAAGAACCATAGCAAAGTAGAGTAAATTATCAGTACCAGTTGTTGCACCCAGGATGTTATCCTATTTGAAACATCTGTAGAATTTTAGCGCAAATTAAGAACTCTCTATCACACTACCCATAAACTTTCGCATCCATTTCTGGACAGCTGTCCTGTTTGCCAGGACACAGGCCTGATATTTGTTTCATCATTTCTTTTGAGTTCAGGCTGAAGAGTCACTTTGGTGTTTCATGAACCACATCTCTGGCAGGGAGACAATGTAAAATTTCTTTCCTCTGCCTTTCCTTCTCTTGCCATATTTCTTGAGTGATGGGTTGTAATCCTCAAGTCAGACACTTTGCTGGAAAAAAGCACAGAGAAAGTTAAGTGACAAAGAACAGTAGATATTGTCTCACATACTCCTAAAAAGTAAGGAAAAACTAAAGATGTCAACATGACAGCAAGTAGATGAACCCAAGGGACACCTTCTGCAACTCATATGCATACTTCTGTTCAAGGACAGAGATGGAAGAAGCAGGAATGGGTGGGGGGGAGTGAGGTGAAAGTGGAAGAACAAGGCAAGGAGAGCCAAGTAGAAAAGAAACTCAGCTTTGTGAAGAAATAAATGGTGAGGGTATATCAATGAGACACAAAAACAAGTAGGATAAATGTGGAATTATGGTTATTCTGATTCAGATATCATCTGCTATCATATTGTGATATCATTATGATTCCTCCCTCCCTTCCTCTCCTTTAATTATTTCATCCCAAAGCCATATATTATATGTGGTCAAATGTCCCTTTCCAACTGAACTGCCAAAATGGTAGTTCATGACAAATATAGAAGGTTAAACAGCACAACATAGTTTTGCTTACCAGGAGTTAAATATCATGAGCAGTGCTGTCTCTTGTGCTGGCCTTCTCTGTCTTGTTGCCACCTGTAAAGAAGTACAATGCTAGCTGTCCAGGTCTTAGGGTTCTGATCTCTCAGGAACATCAAAGAGGTAGGTTCTTTGAAGAAATGGTCTCCATGCTTACACTAAAAAGATGCTCAGAAAAAGTATTTGTACTTGGCTTCAGAAGTTACAATGATGGCTGTCCCCGGTGGCTATGCAGTGGTAGACAGTACTTTCAGTGCTCATGCTTCTACAGTTTCTATGAACTTGCAGACAAAATTAGTATATCATAGTCTAGCAGAAGCTAGGAACCCTTCTAAAGAGGAGCTGCTGCCTGCCTGACAGGCATTGTTACAGGCGAGAGCCTGCAGGAACCATTAAGGACATGCTTTTCCACCTGCTTTGCCCACCCACCTCCAACCAGGCAGAGCCAGCACAGCCATTGGGCAGGGTAAGGCACCAATACCACCAGCACCAATTTCAGGCAAGATCACATCTCACCCAAAATGGCATGATCTTGCCTCAAATGGCGCCACCTGACAGAGCACATAGCAGCAGCAGATCAGGTGGTATTGGCAGCAGCAGGCATGGTGGTGGAGTGAGTAGTGACAGTCACAGCAGCAGTTCCCATTTCACCTGAAATAGCAAAACAGGATGCGCTGCCCCTGCATCCTTCAGTATTCTTGCTTTCTCTTAATATTTTTGTAGGCAATGTTCTTTGCCTTTTCGGCAGGAACACAGATGTGTTTGGTATTTGTATCATTTGTATTGTGCCACACAGCAGTAGCACAATGACTCC